AACTGCAGGATTTTAAATTTAAAACAGTTTTGGTCTCTGGGTATCCCTGATGAAAAATTGTTGCTGTCCAATTGGCTTGGAGGTGTGGAAGAGAGGCTGTGAGGGATTTGTCAGCATGACTCCGAGTAAAGCTGCCTTCAATTTGCAACAAAGTTTTGCTCATATTAAAACCGATACCTTCCTGCATCATCACACACATGATCATCCTTAAGCTCTGTTAAGGACACAAGAAGATTCTAAATTTGCATCCAGCTTGCAGACTTTTTGTGCCTTATGAAATAGGTTCATGTGCCAAGCAGGAAATCATCCACGTCTCAAATTTTTCTTAAAGTCCCCAAATACATCAGAGTAAGATTTTAGGCTATTTTATTAGCATAGTACAGTACATACCAGAGCCACAGCAGGTTACCATCCATAACTTAATGCTACAGAAATCAGGATAAGACAACTAAAGAGCAAGTGACTCGGTGACTCCCCCCTGGATAAGATGTAGGTCCAGTTTAAGAATCACCCCAAGCAATATAAGCGTAGCAAGTGAAAATATAACAGCAAAATCAAGTTAAATTAAAATGCCTTCTATGAAACATACACCAGCCGAAACAGGGATGAAATTGATTATCAAAGCCTAAATTATAGAAAAAAATATTATTTATTCATATTGTATTAAAAAAGTTATTTTAAATGTATTAGCTTAATATAAAATTCTTAAAAACTTAGGTTTTTACTTACCAACATAAGATGTTCATATTGCCAGCCAGCTTCCAGTTGCGAAAACGTATGAAACTCCGTTTCAGTCAGCTTTATAATCCACCAAGAAACTTTCAAATAGCTTTTACTAGATCGCATTCATAGCCAAGCTATTGCCTTTTCCTTTTTTTTCCCCTTTCATTTTCAAAAAGGGAACCAAAATACCAAGTTTCCATTTCCAAACTTGAATTTCTATTTCATGTTAACCTTAGTTACAATGACTTGTGTTGTCATATAACAGAATATATGGGTCAGAAAAACCCAAACAGATTTTTATAATTACAACTGATTAGTCTGAAAAGCTTTGGACAGGTGGTTCTGATCAATTATTTGTGGTGCAATCACTGAAAGCCTTTAAAACAAGTCTATGATAGCTTATTTAACATATAGGCGAATAAGCCAGTTCTCATAGTAAATCACAGAATATATGTTGCATATGTTACTATTTTATTAAAGGAAATTGTTAAAGACTCAAATGATTTCTAATATTCTCCTCAGAGATGCAATAAAAATAAATGAGTTGTCTAGCCATGTCAAGGTACCTTGTTAACTCACATTTTGTTAAAGGACACTAAAGGTTTTCCTATTTTCTAGATTATGATGTCCATGATATTGGTTTAAGTGTACCATGATTAAATCAAACATTACAGTCAATACACTAATTTAAAACAGGGGACACAAGTTCATTTTGCTGGAAGGCATTTTCTTGTCCCACCAGCCTGTCAGCATCTTAATTGGACTTGCTGTATAAATTAATCAGACACATTTAATATGTCTCACCTGGCTTCAGAATGTTTAACACATGTGCTGCCTTCATCCATGTGCAGCATTTAAAATCCTCAAAATGCAATACACCTATAGAGAAAATTAAATACCTTTACCTTGAACAAATAGCTTAATTAAGTAATTGAGACCTTCAGCTGGGACAAAATCCAGCAGCCCCTTAATGACTGGAGATCGAGACCTCAGATCTCAGATGATTTGAAAAAACCATTACAGGCAGGATGAGTTTCTTTTATGATGTTTGTTACAATTTCAGCATTGAAAGACATCTCATCTGCCAAGCAAACCCTGAAACATTACTGCCTCATACATGAAAGAAACTGCTATACAGCAGCCTAGGCAGAACAGTCTGTGTTTTTTTTTTTAGTTTTTGTCATAAGGCTTTAAAATAATGGAAATATATTCCTAGTGTATTCTTACTGAATGTCATAGGGATAACACATGAATATCTTGAAATTTTCTTTGAATGCTTTTGGGGAGAGATGGTGAACAGTAATGCCCCCGATACACAAATACGCTATCTCAGCTGCCACTTAAAATAAGTATGATCATTTTGTATCAGCCAGTAATTGGGTTGGTCAGCATAATCTCAGCCTTACCACCAGTATTGCAATCCAACCCCATCTCGGGGGTAAAAAGTAACCACAACAACATCAACAATAATAATAATAAAAAAAACAATGATTAGTATGATTTATTAATAGGTTTTTGGGATAACCATCGTAAATGTTAGACTTTAAAGCAGAAAAAAATGCAATTAACCATTCTGTCCTCCTGCCTGTGATTGTGCAATTATACCGACGTTAAGTTAAATAAATGAATGTTAAAAAATATGTCTTCTCTTAGAGATAAAATATGAGCTGTTTGCCATGGATTTGGGCCAGCCAGTGGCCTGGTGGTTGGCCCTGTGACCTGAGTTCTAAGGTTTTGGGTTCATGGCCGACCTTGTCTGTGTGGAGCTACTGTGCTTGTGTGGGCATTGTTGCCAGCTGCTGTGGGTTCCCAGTCTTCCACCTTTACAAAAAAATGCTTGCCAGGTTGTCTAAATACCGCCCACACTTCCTGCTTGATATTTAAGACTGTTGTATAAGGATGGCGGCTGAACTCCCACCTGAGAAATATGCTCTTTTCCCTCTAGCCGACTCTGGTTGAAGTCAGCCCGCACACTTTCTTGCATACCAACATTAGCTTGTTTCACAGACCACACATTTTCCCCCCAATAAAACCAGTGAGCAGTGTCTTCTGTACATACTTTTTTCCTTTATTCGAGAGATCATCATTTAAATAAAGGCCATACAGAACAAGGATCTTCAAATACAGCAACTAAAAAACTGCCAACAAAACAGACAGAAAAACTGTCCCTCCTCATAAAAATGTAGTCTCACTGCAAAATAAAAGAATTTATAGGAAACAGAATGCATGTACAGTGTTAAATGTTTTTGTTTGTAGTTCAATTGAACAAAAACTTGTCACAGTTACGATTTTTTACAGTTTATTTAGTACAAAGACAATGTGTTGGACCCAAACCTGAGGCCCCTATCTAAAGTCTACGCAGAGCACAAAAACTGGGAGATAATCTACAAATCGCACAGCCACCTCCGATATTATATTATGAAAGACTCTGAATTTGTTTTACAGAATCAAATAACAACAGTTTTTTAACAATGTACAACTTATGTGAGACAAGGAAACACAGAAAAAGATTCACTGATTTATACCCATACTACTATTAAAAAACAACTAGACAAATGGATTGCAACTCAACCCCTAGGCAGGACATCCCAATCCTGGTCCTGGTTTTTATTCTATCTTCTATCTGAGCTTTTCTTATTATTTAATAAGGCCTTTAATTGAACACTTTGCTTAATTAGAACTCCTTCACTATTTTCACCTTCTGAAAACAATGAAGATTTCAATGTGTTTATTGGTCATTTCACAGACCCTGATTGGCAATATTGAGATGCCTAGACTTGAGTACCTACTGTAAACTAAATCAGGTGGTCCAAGACTAGTGATAATTCGTGCCTATGACTGCAGTTAACTCAAAATATCTAAAAAGTTAAAATTATAATTCACATTAATCAAACTGGTAAGTAAATTAAGGACTCAGTTAAGAAACTGAGAAAGTCACATAAAAAAGCATACTCTGGGTTAAGAAGGACAAGGCCTAAGACGTTCCCCCCTTGTTAAAAACTGCTCCAGCTATCTGATGCCTACGTTATGTCCATTAAAGACTGATTCCAGATGCTTCAGCAGACTCAGCAACATGCAAATCATGTACGTCTTTCAGAAATGGCAAAGTGTATGTGCCATTGAATTTCATTCAAACTGGATATACCAGGAATAGGAATACGACATTATCTTACTCCCACGATTCTGCAAAACTAAATGCACTAAGTTCCATAATAAACAACACAAGCAAGATGAATATTGATTTTCCAAAGTTTTTGGGTCACTTGCAAGAGTAACATTTTAGCTAGCATTTTTAATGCAATATTAAGACTGATTAACATAACTTAAATCTGATCTCTTTTTATTTTATTTTGATAAGGCACTACATTGTTAACGTATGAAACCCTTATTACTGCATAATTACAGCATAATAATAGATATTACACATGATTAAGCATTTGTATATTTAATAAACAGTTTATAACAATGATCAGGGAGAAATTCTCCAAAACACCTGTGAATTCCAGCTACAGTACTAGGGTAAAAATAGTCTGATGTATCTCAGTGTTTGCTACTCTTAAGACAAACTGCCTCATACTCATAGCTAATTATTTGAAACGTGTCCTAACACATTCATGATAGCGTTATTATTAGGTTTATTTGTTTATCTGTTTTGTTTTTTCATGTTACATGCATCAACTTGTGTGTTCATGTTTTGTCTTTTTTCATTTCTTTAGCATTTGTATTTCACACTCATGTATCTTGAGTTTGCTCATTTCACTCTGCCTCGTCCTTGGGCAAGACATAATAATGATGAATAGTAATTGCTTACACTTATGTAGTGCTTTTCTGGACACTCCACTCAAAGCGCTTTACAGGTAATGGGGATCCCCTCCACCCCCACCAATGTGCAGCATCCACCTGGATGATGCGACGGCAGCCATAGTGTGCCAGCTATTAGTTGGGAGGAGAGCAGAGTAGTGAAGCTAATTCAGAGATGGAGATTACTAGGAGGCCATGATTGGCAAGGGCCAATGGGAAATTTGGCCCGTACACAGGGGTTACACCCCTACTCTTTCCGAGAAACGCCTTGGGATTTTTAATGACCACAGAGAGTCAGGACCTCGGTTTTATGTCTCACTGGAGGGACAGCGCCTGCTTACAGTAATGTCCCTGTCACTATAATGGGGCATTAGGACCCACATGGACTGCAGGGTGAGCGCCCCCTGCTGGCCATACTAACACCTCTTCCAGCAGCAACCTTAGTTTTTCCCAGGAGGTCTCCCATCCAGGCACTGACCAGGCCCACACCTGCTTAGCTTCAGTGAGCTGCCAGAAGTGAGTTGCAGAGTGATATGACATGAACAAAAATGTTCTGGTTTTATCAATTTTGCATATAAGTTGAAGTTCCAACTGTATCATTATTCAAACCAAAGCCAAGACAGAACAACCCTGTATTATCAGTGTTGCCAGCCTAGGAAAACCAAATAGAAACAGTATGTGTAGGCAGACTCAAAATCAGATTTATTTATGACAAAAGGCCAATGAATATACAGATTTAAACAGCTGCGCAGAGAAAAACTGATTATGAAGCAGTGTCCTTGTGGTCTCTCATGGCAGGTGAATATTTTTTATGTGTGTCTGGGTGGGTTCTGGAATATCACTGCTCTAAGACAAAGCTTTTTTTTTGTTCATTTTTGGTTAGGTCTGACTTTGATTAAAATGAAATGCAAATACAAGAATCAAGAATTTCAGTACAAGGGTGAAAATAATAAATCTAAGTCATTCTTTATTTGTTTTTGACTGCTACTGTATTTGTACCTTACTGTACACTACTTTAGTAGAGTAATCTAAAAGGCAGGAGGATATCATCATTTTTCAAAAACCTAGTCTCTTGTTTCCTTTTTAAAGAAATCAAATGCTTTTTCATTTTCATTTCTATTTTGCTGCAGGAGGAACAACACTGAAAATGTCATGATAGACCTCAAATCAGTTAAACCAAATGATCCCCTTTAAAGCACAAGGGAGAAAACTGATCTGCAGTGCTGAAATATCTCAAAAATATATTTAATAAGCCTTTAGTACTGGGTGTTCAGAAGGCATAGCAAATATAATCTTTTCAAGGAACTGAAGCTGTAAGGGATATTTGCTTCGTCATAAATGAACTAAAAGCTTTGTCATCAATACTGTCTTTCTATCACCACACATGTTTAGTGATCTCTTAGGCAAGCGTCAATGCAGTAATAAACACTTCTTGCACTGGAATCCTGCCTCAAGTATAACTCTAAACAAACCTAAAATCTTAAATAAACTGTTGTCACGCAGTCTTCTGTAGACTGTCTGTTTATATACTAGAAGTTTGGATTTAATTTGGAGAATTGTAATTTTGTTGTATATATGCAGTTTAATTTGGCTAAGGATTTGCTGGCCTTTCCAAAAGATTAGCATATATTTTATATCCCTCATATGGCATTACTATACTTACATTTCCAGATTACTAAAAAATTAAACAGTGATGAATTTTATAAGGGTTTGCTTGTCATAAACTCCATTGAAAGCATATACAGTATGAATAACTCTTCCTGATTTCTGGTTATGGTGAAGCGTTCGTTGAAAGGTTCACCTGTTTGAATTAGCCAGTGTTAGTTTTCTATTTACACCAATTCATTTTCTTCCCTCATTTCTCATTTTTGTTTTCTTCAAAAGTCAACTGATGCACTCCAAGCTGTGTGTTACACAGCTGACAAATCAATGCGATTTGCAGAGTTTGTGCTCTTATCCCACGTGTTCATTTTTGTGGGTGTTGTTCCAGGACGGTTTCCATTCATCTGGAAAGAAGAAAATAAAAAAACTGTAATGTGATCCCAATATTACTTCCTTTTACAGGACTTGAGCCAGAAAAGGTAACAAATATAGACTGAAGAACAATTCCTTAACTTTAACAACCTTCAATATTCAATATGCGATAAAATTGTTACTTCTGTGAATATGTTTGCCAAGAATTGTCTTTAAATTTTTGTATATAAGGATAAGCCTAATGAATGATCTCTAATGTAAATTCTCCCAGAAATACTTACAACCATTAGAATCCTGTCAGTGAGTACAATTTCAACAGAAGACCTTAAGACTGTTTTAAGAGATTTAACACTTACTTCTTCTTACTTACTACTTTTGCTTTTTTGAACTTTTTTGAATTTGTTGTGTTTCACTCAACTATTTTACCTTTACTGTTTCTTCTACAAATATTTATTAGCAGCACAAAAACTTCAGTAGAAACTCAACATTGTATCAAAAGTGCCGTGTCCAATTACTGGTCAACTGATTGACTTGGAAATTTGTCTTAGAAACAAGTGAAACGAAGTAAATCTGGCTGGTAGTAGCTTTGGGCAACCCATAGGTGGAACCCTTCCTCCTTGACCAAAAAAATATTAGAAACATCACAGGGCGTAGTACTGTGCTCTGCTAGTCTTTGAGGTTAGCACTTAAAAACTGGTGCCATCTCCACTCTTCAAGCAACAGACATCATTGCATGTTCTTAGAATGATGTGAGATAATAAATCAGATATTCTGGCCAAATCAGACTCCGATTGACATTCAGAAGAACAGTTACACACTTAAACTTAATAGCAGAGTGTAAATTGTATTACACAGCCATTCAACAGGTTTACTCTGGTTTACTCTCTCTGTACAACTGAATAATCATGCTTTGTAAAAATATGTGTTCAATTAATACACTGGGAGAAAGCTGTATAACGCACAAGAAAAACAAACAGTACTTACAATGTCTGAGTTGAAAGGTTTCACATTGATGTTGCGGATGGAACTGCTGGTTAGAGACCAAACCTTGGTTTTGTGTTTAAAGGCAGCTCTGATCTTTAAAAAAGGAATGAAAAGGTATTATCTTTAAAGGAACATAAATATGAATAAATGAGCATAGTACTATCCTCACTTTAAATCTTTAAGTAGGATCAACTACTCGCAAAACTCTGGTAAAGTATTTTAAAAATACACTGATGAAAAATTCACTTCTGTTTTGAAGAACTTCATATACTGTAGACATTTTTTTCCTGCGGTTCTTTTTACTTTTTATTGGAAACTATAATTAAATTACATAATCATTACAGGGATATTAAACATGCAGATTAGTTGTTCCATGCTCATTTATTTTTGAAAGAGTTCTCTTTGATGTTGGTAATCATTTTTAATTTTCACCATATTAAACAAAATAATTAAATATATGCATTACTCTGCTAGGTTTTCAGACAACTTCAAAAGGGATTTTTTACAAGCAGTGTTATACAATACAGTCCATTATAGAGAATTAGAGCTGATTAGGTTCAGGATTAAATTCAAATAGTTTACGGTACCTCAGAGTTGAGAAGGCAGTGGAAAAGAAATACGAAGAACCCCTTTAAGAAATAGAACCATAAATAATATTCAGAGCCTATATCTCTGTAATCCAAAAACTTAATGATCTGGTGAAATTTCTTTTTCATTTAACATCCCTTTTACATAATGCATTTAAGTCTTCTTTTCATTTTTAAAAGACGTATCAGCAGGAAAAAACTTGGTTAAGCCTAATAAATACACAATTACAAACATTTTCTGGTTAAAAATATTTAGTATAATTCTTTTATACAAAAATATGTAAGCAGATTTTGATAATTCCTACAATGTATTTACTTAATAACATGTAAATACCATTTATTTTAATCTTCCAAAAACTCTGCTAAATCTTTCAAAATTTATCTCAAACCACACTTCTTATAAAACATAAGACTTTCCATGAAGAACCATGTGACTACATTTCCAGTTGCATCTTCTATGAATGAACAACATTAATGATGCAATCTCTTTTTTTACTTTTTCTAAATCTTAACAAAAGACGTTCAAAGATTCACTCTGGGTCTTCAGGTGCACAGATGCTGTAACTGAAGTTTGAAATCTTCACTGTGGTAACACAGATAAGTTTTTCTGATATAAAGGAAACACTAAAAATGGGCAATTACAACAAAAGTTCTAGCAAATCAATTGTTATTTTCCTCACTGTCTGATACATGTTTGATTGATTTCCATAATGGTGAACTAATGCAGAGCTCTTCTTATTTTATTTGTGCTACTACAAGATCAAAGGCATTGCTAAAACATTTTAAGAATGGGAAATATTTTGATGTGGTAGGCAAAAGTGGAAAGCCTTTAAATGGAGAAATTAATTAATAGTGACTAGAAGGCAGAGGTTATTAAGGAAGACCACACTGGCCTATTTCCCTGCTTGTTCATAGGTATTGGAGAACAAAGGAAGTTGTTTTTAATTTTTTTTTATATTAACCACTAATATGACTTGTACGTACATCACAAGTAAAAAACAAATCTTCTAAAATGTGCATCTGTACGTATCATATAATCCATCAACAGACTGAGTACAATGAGATATTCATGCAAATATTCATCATTTGGTTTGCTAGGTATATTCCTAGCATTGAAACAAAACAATCCTTCCGTTTTAAAGCGAGAGCTGTGCTTAGCTCGTAAATTGTACATACCTGTAGGGAATTAAAAATAGCAAACATGTACTGGAATAGCAGGGCATGGTCATTGAATGCCAGGACCCCAAATATCCATGAAATTCCCAGTATAGGAAGGAGGACAGCAACAGCTTTGGCAGTCAGCCTAAAAGGGACATTGAAACTCTTGTCAAGGGGACATGTACCTGCAAGCAGCTGAGCAAGTCTGTGATTATAGCAGTGAATGTGTGCAGTCGCCAACATTCAGAAAATAAAACTTTTTTGTTCAGCCAGCTCAATCACATGCGACTGCCTTGCTAGTTCGACCACAGTTGGAGGGAACCTGCTAGCTACTATAGCTGTGTCTATAGCAGAGCTACCCATTACATTTCTGGCAGACAATCAATACCTCACATCTGTCCCATATTACATACTGTATGGGTGCATCTCATTACAGTTTTCTACATGAGAGCATGTAAGGAATGTCTGACTGGTTTAAAATTAAGAAACATGTTATGAGATGTAATGTATGTACATACTGTAGGTTAATTGTTAAAGATACTGTGTTTATCTAACGTAGCACTGCTTTAATTTGAAAATAAAAACTGTTCTGTTCACAATCAGTAAAGGAATGTAGGAAACTATCTACTGCCTGCAACAAATGTCACAAGTTATACCCCTGGTCAACAGATAATAATAATAAACGTTATTTTATATAGCACCTTCTCAAAGAGCTTTACAGAATGACAACAGATATAGAAGATGCCTTCTTCTTCAACAATGTGTGACAACAGCATCCAATTCATGTGTTTCGGTTAACACAAAATGAGATGTGGAAGAGAATTAAATTACTCTTTCATCCACATGTAGCCTAAACTAGACTGACAAGAAAAAATTCCCAAAATGAGTGAACAGCAACACAATTTATACAACCCTCGCACAGCTTTTACATTTTCGATTTAGCTCAGAAATGCTTCAGAAAGTGAATGTGCACTTTATTCCTGTTCCAAAGAACAACAATCAGCTGCCTTTAGCTGCAAATTGTTTCACTTGATTTTATGTCTGCCCCATGTGACACACAAGGTACTTCTCATTGGGATGAGAATAAGGCATCACTTGAAAGGAAGCATCTGACACAAAACAGATCCCAGAGCCCACTGGGTGCATAACATTACCTGCTACATTACTTAAGAACAATAGTCAGATCTATGACAGACAGACACTGCTCGCAGGTGGACCAATTCCTTCTTCTGAACAAGCACTGAACCATAAATCATTTCACTTATGATTGAATATGGAGTAGGATTCCATCTTACTAGTAAGACTCCTCAAATGGATACGAAATTAATTACTTTCATGTGGAATCAAGTATTATGTTTTCTGGGGTATCACAGACATCCATTTATATTTTGTTCTTCTTTTTAGCATTTAGAATAGTCAATTATTTTATTGCTATTTAAACTCAATACCAGTCTGGAAGCTATGAATATCGTAGTCACACAAGTGTAAAGCAACATTAAATTCCCTGGCATCCCTGAAGATGTGTGCCACACTGTATGTGTGTGTGACATTCCTGACTGATTCACGTCTACCTAAATCCAGCAGTAATTGACCATTTGGGTGTGGTCACCAGGTCATTCCCGTCACCTCGTGAACAGGATCACTGACCATCGTTTGTCTGACTCTAACAGAAATGCCCAAAATATCATCATAAACACAAAAAACCTGATAGCACACAAGGAGAGGTTGAACCTAGGCTGAAAAGTGCTGGTGCGTACGTCTTAGGTTCTCTTTATCATTAAGTGATCATTTTATTGTTATTCTTTTCCCTATCTCTTTTCCCTGCAACAATAACACAGTGGATAGTAATCTGTTGAATATCTCTTTAGCTGAAAGACATTATTATCCAATGAGCACATCTTGCATCTGAGTGACACCTACAGTATAATAGTCCTGTCACTGTAAAATGAGTTACTTTTGTTTTTCTTGAGACATCTTGACTTCAAACAATATTAATCTAAAATGATTAGCTTTAATAAGCAGCTAAGATGAAGAGCAATGCCTGATGGATTTTCTGAGGGACACAATTGACTGTCAGTTACTGATTACATTCAAAGAAATACTTTAATGATGGCATCAGCAACTTGTCCTGAACACAGATGAGGGTAAAATGGATAATCCAAACAACAAATAATACACTAACACATCTTTCATAGACTGTGACACCCATTGATGGAGCACCACAGTACAACACGACTGTTTTCTACATTCAAAGAAAAAACTAATTTGAAATGGACATAAGAAAAACAGTGGTACTCTTGTACAACTATATACTGTAGCTATTGTTACTGTTTACAGTTTTTACCCTAACTTTATCATTAAAACCAGAAACAATGCATCTTCTCTCATAAAGCATAGTGAAATGAATGTCAACTTTGATTGTAAAACATTCATTGCTTATGTAGAGGCAAAACAAGTTCCTTTATTCTTTATTGAGATATATGTGCTTTAATATGTCTATTTCTAAAGAGCAATCATTCAACAGAAATACAGCAAAGTGCAAAGTGGAAGGATGAGTTGTGTACTCGCTAAAATCAAATGGTTATGAATTTACAATTAAACACAAGATTGTGAAAGAAAGCAAAAGTGATCTTGCAGAGATTTTCACAATATGAGAGAAGCAAAGTTGTGTGTGTGTTATTGTTTTAAAGAAAAAAATGATTTTTCTTCATTAGGCCTTATTCCTTTCTTCAGTATCTTCAACAAAAGAAGTGGAAATTATAATAATCATGCTTAATTACTATCATTACAGCAAAAGGAAATGATAAAGACTCATTCCATTTTGTGAATTTCCATCAGAAAAAAATGAGATTACACAAGAACTCTGTGTGTGGGTTTCCTTAGTTATTTTCAGCACATTTTAGATTGACTGCACACGTTCGAAGGAAAACAAAAACAAATTATGTACCATTAAATCTTCAGTAGTCATGATTATAATTAAGGTACAGTATTCTTTTATAGCTGTCTTTTTGTCTGTTAATTGTTTTTCTTTATAAACTATTTTGTCTTTGATTTTGATATGTGGTTACTCATCCTTTCTCTGTTCTTATTTATCTTACTTTATCCATTTAAGTTGTCCACCCTCAGAGTACATAGGCTTGTTTTGTGTGATCTGAACTGATTAGTTCTTATCACTAAAGAATATAAACAAAAACATGTCTGAATTTGTTTGAAAGAATATTAATAATAAAGAAAGCAATCACTATACTCTTTTTCATCTTGGTATCTTGACGTGATTTCATGTTGACAAGAAGTAGTTAATTTTCTGTACTGTACCACTTCTGTATACTGTAACTCTGCTTTTTGCAATATTACTAAAATTGAAAGAACTTTATTTCTTAACTTTAGTCACAGTTTCTCAAATCCATTTTTACTTCTGAAGGCAGTTATGAGGTAAACGCCCTTGCTTTTCACCAAGAGCTATCTGTGTAACTACAACAAATAAGACAACTTTCACAAGCAATACAACTGTCTTTGTTAAACTATCACCATTTCAATGATGTTAGTATGAAAGACAGCTTCAGTACTGTACTGTATATTCAAAACACCTGTACCATGCAACCTAAACTAGGTTGTATATTCTACTCTAAATTCTCCTTGTGTGCTTGTGTATGTACAGTATATCTTCTCACTTTGTATCCTTTACTATTGTTTGTTGCAATTCGTAAAGAGCTATCTGACAATGGGTGGATGTTTACACAAGACACAAAAGTCTTTTTATTTCATTGCAGCAATTTTAGATAAAGCTTAGACCTCTGTCTTGTTGCACATAGAAGATTCAGTTTTGCTGTCAGCTGTTTTTCAATGATTTAGCGTTTCACTTGATTTTGAAGTAATGGATGACAAAATCGACATTAAGCTTAGTAATCACTGCAAAAAAAACAGAGCTGGCTCCATCAGAGCTAACAAGGCAGCTTTTGCTGAAGTTATCAACATGAGATGTCTTTCATTCACCCCTTCTTCCTTTTTCAGGAGCATTCTGTCCCCATGACAACATCTACACTGAACTGAAAGAGATATCAAGGTTGAAAATGCAATAAATACATTCCAGCAAAAGCAATTTTTCAAATACAATTTTTCAAAGAGCCAGTCACAGGAAAGAAAAGGCTTGCCAAATCCTTAATTATCTCTAATAATACATTTTATAATAACGTTGCATCTAGAGTTTTACGGACCCACTATATACCTCCTCCCCAGCCTTTTCAGTTTTGGTATACTGTACCACTGATCCGAGGTACTGAAAGAAAGTGTCCCCAGTCTGCTGGAATAACATGATTTGAGGTTGCTTCCTAAACCTTTTTTAAACCTGGATAGTAAACTGAACAGACCAACAGCAAAGCCATTTCACTGAGCTGTGAGACGTTTGAAGAAGAAAACCTCACACCAATTTCAATCATATTTGGGGAAGGTAAGTCCAATTAAGCAAAAAGGCATGATGGCTGTATATTAAGTGACTTATCTATACAATTAAGTCATTCCCTTCCATTTCTTCAAGGGGAATTAAGATTATCTAAATTAGGGTCTTTGTTTTGGCCATTGTAAGTAAAAAGATGAGGCTTTTGGAGAGTGGTGATATATAGGATACAGAATTTGATTTTACAAAAAGTTTATTTTGTGGTGGTGTGTTTCATTCATGTTGTTTTGTTTGTTTTTAATGTTTCATTATTGAGTCTGTTTGCTCTTGTTGTGTTTCTTTTATGTAGCAATAAATGTCAGGTTTAGCAGATAATGCTGATAGAACAAGGCAGCAAGAGGGCACCAGCAATGCCTGAAAAAATGTTCTTGCACTCCCTTTCCTAAAGGGCACCCAGTACTTGAACCACTTAAAGGAATGGATGTTACTAGTTCTCCCTAGCCGTGATATTTGTTTCATAGCCCTCATTTGAGCGGAGAGGGTTGGATATCGCCGTGTTTACTTTTTCTTCAGAACAAAAAAAAACATGCTGTTTGTATACTCATTACCACATGCACTGATGTCAAAGAGTCCCTGATCATTTACACATTTTATTCTCTGGCCCTTAACTTTAACAAAACAAGACAAAAGCTAATAAATACCTATTACATCATCATTTTCCAAGATAGGCAGTTAATGGTAGCCTGCAGGTGGTAAATAATAATAATCAATACATCTTTGACAGCTTTTGGAATGTGTAGTTGTTCCAGCTGGTGGTACTATTCCTAAAATCACCAACTGTAGAATAAGCTATGACATTATAATGCTAGGGATTTTAATGAAAGATAAATGAAACACATTCCCTCTATCGGGCAAACTCCTGGATCTCATGAGAATCCTTTAAATATACAAACATTCATTTCCAGCATCTAATTACACATTACACAGGTGAACAACAGGATTCAGTTCCGATCTAAACTGTACTGCCAGACTTGCCTAATGGCTTCAATCATTCACTCCTCTTGTGTGCACCAGCCACAATTCCTAAGCAGCATGCTGTTTGAATATTTCATGCTCTCTATAGGAAGGGGTAATTAAAAGCCTAATACACTGTATGTGGATTTATCTTAATTTACAGCTTTGTTAACTAATGGCCCACAGTATCATTGTTGCTACATCTGTTTCATTTTTGTTTGAGAGCAAGGGCAAAGACCGGCATAGATGCCCATCACAAATAACAAACTAAGACAGCAGATGTCAGATGAGTTATATATATGGATTCACTTATATAGCAGGTTTCTGGACACTTCATTTAAAGCACTTTACAGGTAATGGGGATCCCCTCCACCACCACCAATGTGTAGCATGGCAGCCAAAGTGCACCAGTACACTCACCACACATCAGCTATCAGCGGGGAGGAGAACAGAGTAATGAAGTCAGTTCATAGATGTGGATTATTAGGAGGTAATGATTGGGAAATTTGGCCAGGATGCTGGAGTAACACCCCTACTCTTTTTGAGAAACACCCTGGGATTTTTAATGACCACTGAGATTCAGGACATCGGTTTTACATCTCATCCAAAGGATGGCACATTTCTTATAGTATAGTTTCCCCATCACTACACTGGGGCATTAGGACCCACACAGACCACAGGATGAGCACCCCCTACTGGTCCCATTTACACCGCTTCTAACAGCAACCTAAGCTTTCCATCCAGGTGGTGGCCAGGCTCCTGCTTGCTGATATTCAGTGGGTTGCCAATTATAATGCAGGATGATATCACTGCTGTTGATATGGTTATGGCTACTTGAATAGATGTCGTCAAATATCATTGTAGGAAAAGTAGCACATCAAAAGATATTTTGAACAGGGACTGAGAGATGAGACAGAGCAGGTGAAAGGCCTTTAAGACACTAAAAAGATATTTTGATCAATTTTTCTTCTTCGCATAGTTTATTAAATTAAGCCTTCAAGGCATACATATGCAGGGGAAAAAAAACGTTGAAATGGGTTTTGATGAGAATCTAAAAGTATTGAAAAAACAGAGCAAAAGAGGTTTTTATGAAAAGAAGACAGAAAAGAGACCTCGTGTTATGTGAAAAGTGTGCACCTGCAATGACCAGCTACACTCATCTACAGTGAAACTAAAGCGGTTTTCACATAAAACTGCTTTCAAGTATTTCTCTGTAAGGTATCTTTAATTTTTAATAAACGCTAATGTATTTGTAATTGTTCTGTACCCATAACAGAAAGTCACTTGGGTGATTTTATTCTCTCTTAATGATGCAAAATATATTTCAAGTTATATATTGACAAATGTCTAAATTCGTTTTCACTGAAAATGTGTCTCACACACACTGTACAAATACCAAGCCAGCAATCTTTTTCACAAAAACTTGAAGAGCTTTTGTTATTAGTTAATAACCAGACCACTTTAAGTATGACAAGGTATCACCAATGGCAATTAAGAAATTAAGCCTTCCATAGGTGGAACCTAATGGAAATTAATTTTTGCCATATGCAGAATTTAAAATAAATGCAATTTAGCATAAGATTGAGCTTTAGAAATTACTATATAACAAATTATAATATATATAATGTTTCACATTTCACACTGAAGACTGCTATTCAAATTAAATTCAGTAGAGACCCATGAATGAATTCAAGGGCAGGGAACCAGCTATTTCCTTTAAAATATAATTGATTAATTTCAATGGCTACCACTTAAGAATAGGAGATGCCTACAAGACATCTAGTTATCACTATTACACTTTTGGGGGAGCTAGAAAATGTTTAATATATGGCTTATTGGACATATATTTATTTATTCCTGATTAGGCGGTAAGTTCCAGGACAGCCATGGGATAAATGGTCCATCATGTGTAGAGTGCCAGAATTCCTTCATCCATTTCATTCTAACATGATTTAGACTCCAAAAAGTTGCTGTTGAACGAAATACAGCCTTTTGCAAGAAAGCAACAGTAAAGGAGTAGTTTATATAATCTGCACATTTCCTTCTGGGAATTTCTTCTAATTTGATGCTTATCAGCTCCCACTGCCATTTGTCATGCTATCTCAGATTTGACTTCTTAAAGCTGATTGCAAGACGGCGTGAGAGAGAAGCAAATTAGTGATACACTGTGCTCTTAAGACCACTGGAGAAACAGTGAGGGCTGAAGCTGTGAAGCACAGCCATGCCATCTTTATTTCGTTTTAATTATTGTACCACAAGCCCCACAGAGATTTTTCAGACCTTTTATTTTCTGAAAGAATTAAAAAAACAGGATAAAATAAGACGACACAATGTTCTGTGGAATGTTTAGCCAAGTTGTTAACATCATACTGAATTGACTGAATTTGAGTAAATGCTTCTCTATACAGAAGTGTAATTACAGTAAGTAACAGATATGAATGTAATGCTGTCATATTTGCAACAGGGAAACAAAGTATACTCATTTTGTTACAATCTAATTCTGCTGATATCAAATTGTAAATTTACCTGCCAAGGATGGTCTTTAGGACTACTCAGTATTTGTCCAGCTTTCAACAAGAAAAACTACTAAACAGTTTATTCACAATGTTCTGTATTAGATTTCAGCGACTTTCACAGCTTCATCCCTGCAGCAATATGTTTTTCCCACAATAAAGTGAAATGTTTCACCTGGGAGCTCAGCAATGCAGAGAATGGCATAATGCTTTGCTATGATGATGATATCAAGATTACTTTTCTATCTGTGCATTTCCTTAAAACCCTGTACATTTCAATCAAGCTGCAGGACAGATACACATAATAAATATTTATAAGAGATCTATCTGCCAACCAACATCTATCAACAAATCAGTCTGCTCATTGCTTTATAAACTGACAGACATACAAAACTGGCTTCTCTCTGAAACTCTAAAGTGAACTCCATCTTCCATCAAGTGGGCTATAGGGAATCCCATTTGAAGTAGAATGCAAACGTTAATAAAATGAAAACAAGAATAATACGGCTGTCGCCTTAAGGCAGGAAAACAGTAATAACAAAAACTCCTGATGTAATAACTACTCGTTCCCAATTGCAAAGCACACACGTATGTGTATTTGGCTCACAGTTCTGAGAAACTCGAGCTGGAAATCTATCTTCTTCAATTATTCAAAGTATGATCATTTCTGTAAGTAAGATACTGTATTAAAGATTTAAAGCTTTCATCTAGGATTTTAGTGCCTTCATCCCCTAAAACTGATTAAACTGCATGTTTTCCAGTACCACTGGGCAACCTGACACAATTAGCATTTATCAATTTATGATAAGCAGTTTTTTTTTTCAGTAGCTTTTATGAGTAACTGCTAATAACACAAAACAGTTAATAGTGACTATTTCAAAACAACTTAAAATAGACCATTCTCCCAAACAAATAATTAAGTAGGTCAAAATTACTGCTTGGTTACTTAAAATTAATATTATTGATGGTATTGCTGCTTACAAAAGTATCTTTTTGCAGGAGACTATAACATTGAAAGCCTGATAAAAGTCATGTAAAGCCTAAGAATTCACAACTATCAAAGTGCATCAGTGTACTGCATTCAGTATACTGAACGTGCCTCAGTTAGGTAAAAGTTGTGAAACATCTTAGCTTTAAATTGCTTGCTTTGCACTTTAACTACTATAAAAGTAATAACTTTTTTCTATTGGTTTTAATCATAGAAAATAAAATTGAAAGACAATATTTACTTGATTGCATTGGCGTCTCCATGCACCTTGTAGTTATCAGCACTAATTCTAGAGATGATTCTCGTCACGGCTATGAGGATACCAATGTTGACCTAAAGAGAAAAAAGAATAAGAATAAGAAAAACTGCTTGCAGACACAAGTTTTTTTAATATTCATAAACAGTGAAACCTTTTGTACTCTTGTACTTGAACAGCGAGCTATACAATACATATAGTGACATACCAGCACCATTAAACAAGCAGTTCTCACGTGAAAGTAGTAAGAACTAGAGATAAGAAACCAAGAATAACTAAAGGCCCATCAATACCTAATAGTGTTTAGATACAAAAAGCCATTGAACAATAATGCAGGTTCACAATGCTTGTTACTGCCATGAAAATAGAGGAGAAAGAGAGTCTTCATTCAAGTGCATGGATTATTCAGGTTCTTTGCCAGTCTGTCTATCTGCTTATTAAAGGAATAGATCAAAGTGGTTTTTATATGGAGGTACTTTATATGGTAATGAAATTAAATCTCCACACTTCAGCTATTACAGTATTTGTATTGACACGTTTTAGTCCCAGGATGAAACAATATTTAGGTGCACTAGAAGGATATTTTATTTTGTAAAGGATGTGACTTCTCTCTCAGTATTTTAGACTTTCATAAGAGCAGAAAATAGCAGTCAGCAGCAGAGTGCCTAACTGGGAAATAGTTTCTGAAATGTATCTTTCATATTCCTCTTTGTCCTTAAAGAAAGCAAAAAGACAGTAGCAACATACTAATAATACCAAATCATGTTTTTGGCTATTAATCAGACTTTAACTAGAGGTAGGCTACTCTCACTCTATTGCTAATCAGATGTCCAAAAGATATTGTCCTCTATAACTGTCTCAGACAATTTATCTACCAAAGGCAAAAGAAAGAAAAACATACAACATTTTCTTACCACTATGACAAACAGGGCAGGTGCAACAAATGCCCAGATGGCTCCATTCTCAAGGGAAAGCCAACAGCTGTGTGAGAAAAAATGGACATGGAGAATTACCTTAAGTTATATGTACTGGGGCCATTACAGTTTCGTGAAGTTTTACGTAGAATATGTTTCCACCACATATAGTATAAGGCTTTTTTTCTGATTGGAACTGCAGTTACAAAAAAGAATATCAGGATGTTGCTGGTGTTGGAATAGAGAGATAAACGTCATATTTGAGTAATGGGTTTTGAGATGATTAAAGCCAAGGTCTAGTGTGAAATTTCTTTAAATCAATGTAAACAAGATTATTAAAGAATTCCTGATCTTTTGCCCTGCCTGTCCTCAAAAGCTTTGACCTCTGACCTGATCAACTTTATCATGCTCACTGTGGTGTATCTCAGAGGAAATACAGCTGTGTATTTTTCAAGAGCAGTTTTCACTTTTGCCTCAGACCATGTTTCTTAGATAAGTAAGAGCTGTTAGTTTTGTTTTTTTTTACACCCGAGTTAGAGTGAGCAACTCAATAGTAATGGTTACGCTACACAGCTAAAGCCATTTTATGCTAGATTACACAAATCATTATGGTTTATGTCACATATGTCACCGAAATATGATTCCTGACAGACTACTGCTGTGAGATATTGTTAGACATAATAATCATAGTCAAAGAATAATATAATTCAATATAAATTATCAATATTTGTGTACTGAAATGCATTAAAAATGCAACACATAAATATTGGATCCAATAGCATTTGTTACGTTTTTAATGTCTCTCTGTATACTGTATAAAATAGATTGTTGGGCCTCCCTAAAATAAAGCTAACACTATTAACTTCACATGCAAATGCATTTTAAAACATTCATGACCCTAGCAGTATTTTCCTTCCTGTGCTCAATGCACATTTCAAGTGATATTCACTTAGAGAGGTAGCTATAGAGAGGTAAAATCTGAATTTTTAAAACTTCAGCAGAGAATTGACTTGAATTTATTACTGGACCCTGAAGAATACATCTTTTATACAGCAGGTTGGTTGATAATACAGCTTTTTCTTTTGCTGTTATTTTAAATATTAATTAAACTGTAATGTCTAGTGGAGAGGCAGAAGCAGGACCATAATTAATCCATCTGCACTCTAGATACTGTATGTTTTGCAGTGGATAGGGATTAGTTGTTCACTCAGCTGTATCTGCAAAACAACTACACTGTTATTTTTTAGTTTGATTTAACTCATCCTTTTCAAAATCCACAAAGTGACTGTTCAGTCTCTGCATTAATTTGGCACAAATCAAACAGATTTGCACTGGTTTTTAGAATTCAAGGATTTTTTGGAGCAGCAAGAGTATTTCTTGGAGAGAATAAAATCAATTATTTCTCCCTATGTAGTTTTAAAGCTTTCATCTAGGATTTTAAACCATACTGCTATTAATAAATTTAACTTCTCTTTACTACATACATTAATGAATTCCTTAAAATCAAGACAGAACATCCTTAGGGCTGCATTGTGAGAAGGGACACATAAACTTGGGTTTTAATTAAGAGTGAAAATGAAAGAAGTTCTATTTGCCTTTCAAAAATTGATGAATTGTGTTCTCAGAAGTATTTGGTTATTTCATACAGATTTTGCTCTGCTTTACATTTTGAATACATTTTAAATTCTGAAGTCTTTAAAAAGCTTTTTAAAGATCCATCCATTATTTCATGTGTAGTACTAATTCTGTGCTTTGGAGGAGCTGCTGCAAAAACCAAAAAAGTATAAATAAAATCCATGTGAAATTAAGTTTGGTCATACAGACTAAATGAAATACAGCAGCATTTGGCTCTCTTGATGTTTCCATGTAGAGTATCATTCTTGTAATAAATGAGGGATATAAACTAATGGAAAGGGATCATTTAGAGGATGATCAAACCCAACATGCACTTTTAAAATGTGTCTTTGGGAGGTTAGGGTTAGAGAACCCAGAAAAAAAAAACAAGATGGTGGATTTTGGTGTTCATAGGCCCTAGACACTTTCACTCCGAAATGTGCAAAAAGAGGAGTAAATGCCAACTGAATGACGTCGCTTGACATGATGCACTTTAAACTGTTCTAATGCTAAACCACATGGTTGATGGAGCGAATCGAGCGACCTCTAGTTTCCAGAACAGCCACTAGATAGAGTATGATTATTGATTTGGAGCACCTAGAGTCGATCGCAAGCATGTTGTTTCAGCTTGTTTGTTATTAGACACTAGTTTTCCCCTCCTGGGCCTACAGTGCCTCATGGGAAACGTGACACCGATGGAGAGAACATGAAAACTCAAAAACAGACAAGCGTCCTCGGTTGGAATCCAACCCTCAAGACCCTGAAGCTGTGAAGCAGAAGAACTAACCACCATGTTAACAGGTCATCACAAAACATAATGGAACATATGAATCAAAAACAAATACAGTCAGCTTTCACAAAACAAATTATGGGCTTAAGCAATAAATACTAATATAAATGCACTGTGGTAGCTCTATTGTTCCTGTAGTATGAAAGGAAGTGGGCAGTTGAGCACATTTTGGTTAAAGTTTTTGCTACTTTTTGGGCATTTGTATTACACTGCAAGAGACATGGTTAGATGCCTATAATTAACGAAGCAAATTAAAAACTAAAGAGAATTTAAAGCATATGCTACTGTTTCCTTCACAAATGTCCCTCCAGAACTTCAAAATACCAGGAACAAAATTATTGTTCTTTACTGGATATAATTCATGGAAATATGATTTGTAGGTTGTTGTTTTTTATTTATGTACATCCATTTAAGTTGAATGTGTCTGTATTGCAAGCAAAAAAAACAACATTTTTGTGCTAAAAAAATAAAACTATTTCTTGAAAGACAAAATTTTAAAAAATAAAAAGGTTTTTAGTGAAAAGCCTTGGTAGTATTTTGCCCCCCTTATTTCTATTCTTATTACCAAATATTCCTCAAATACAGATTTTAATCACTAATGTGTAGCATGGTGACTGACCTGGCTGGAGAACTGCAAATCTTACAGCATTATGAAGCAAGAAATATGAAAGCACCTACCATTACTTTTCAATTCCACACTCCCTACAACATACATGGGGTCTGCAAGCTGTATTCCATCAGTTTACTTAGTTCCAACTAAACCCACATACAGCTACTGCAGACCAGCAGGGATTATATACTGTACAGTATAACAAAGGAACACAAGGAACAGAAACCTTCAGAAATCACTAACACATTGACTGTGAAATGAGAATTAAACAGTCAGAAATATATTAGTAAACTGGGGTTCACAAAGTGAGGTACAGTACACTTAATACACTGTTCTATTTCTGCTACTTACTTTCCCACTTCTCCATAGCTGTCCAGGGCTGACGTCACAGACACGATGCAGATCACTAGAGGGGAACCTAAGACAAGATAACATGTTCTGTATACTGTAAACTAGAAAAAAAACAAGGAAAATCAAAGGCCAGAACCTGTTCAAATCTCAAAACAAATCACAAATTACAAATGTTTGTCTGGAGCATCTTTCGCCATACTAGTTGAAGAAACCTGTCATCAAGTATACAACTTACATTTTTTTATCTGTTTTAAGGGGGTTATAATTTGAATACATCCAGGCCAAAGCCCAGCATCACACCGTGCCAACAGTTCACATCTCTTTCCCTTAAGATACTTCAATGTCGGACTCAAGAAACAGACTTGGGCCTACTTCGATAGCACCCGAGTCGCTCATTGTACACCAGTGGTGAATTAAAGATGAACTATGTGGCTGTGGTAAAAAGTGAATATTTATTTAAGGCTTTTGGCAATGCAACTCTGAGACCACATAGTTTTACCATTTAAAAAGAGGAATTATGCAAGATGGGGACATGTGCTAGATATGCCAAAGGCAATTAACTGGGGAATGCACTGAGAAGCAGTAGTTATGATAACTCATTTAGCTATTAATAAGCACAGTTGGCTGAAATCCTGCATTGTGTGCGTTTGGCCACAATGAAGCTATATCAATTTTTTTTTACATGAAAATTCCGCATCCAAAATAATCAATGCAACAAGTGGGTAAGACATAGCCCTAAGCTTACTGACAAACAAAACAGTAGGGTCTCAAGGTCTGTGAATTTAACATCCGTGGTTTCACTTATTTGCAACTCTGGGTGGCTGACAGGGTCTTGTATGGAAGAAAAGCAGAAAGGAATAAAACCAAGCTGAAATTTGTTAAATGCAACATTCAAATTAGCTGAGCAACAGACTAGGATCCTGAGAAAAATCTAGCTAGGACTGACGCCCTACCTGACCTCTGCCCAAGTATCCACTACGCAGCGTTGGTATCTCAGCGTGGTCTTGTTTTGGTATTGTATCAGATGTTCCAGATTAAGTTAGCAGTACGGGGAATAATAGGCTGGAGACGACTGTACTTGTTCACTGTTTATTTCCCTTTTCATTACAGTGGGACATGCTAATCATGGAGGCAGAGAGAGAAGTGCAGGTATCCACTGGACACAGAGGGGAGATTCATGTTGTTTATTTTATTTATAATAATAATAATAATTGCTTACACTTATATAGCGCTTTTTCTGGACACTCCACTCAAAGCGCTTTACAGGTAATGGGGACTCCCCTCCACCACCACCAGTGTGCAGCCCCACCTGGATGATGCGACGGCAGCCATAGTGCGCCAGAACGCCCACCACACATCAGCTATCAGTGGGGAGGAGAGCAGAGTAATGTAGCCAATTCATAGAGGGGGATTATTAGGAGGCCATGATTAGTAAGGGCCAATTGGAAATTTGGCCAGGACACCGGGGTTACACCCCTACTCTTTTCGAGAAGCGCCCTGGGATTTTTAATGACCACAGAGAGTCAGGACCTCGGTTTTACGTCTCATCCGAAGGACGGCGCCTGTTTACAGTATAGTGTCCCCACTATACTGGGGCATTAGGACCCACATGGACCGCAGGGTGACCGCCCCCCACTGGCCCCACTAACACCTCTTCCAGCAGCAACCTTAGTTTTTCCCAGGAGGTCTCCCATCCAGGTACTGACCAGGCTCACACCTGCTTAGCTTCAGTGGGTTGCCAGTTGTGAGTTGCAGGGTGATATGGCTGCTATTTACAACACGTTTGTGATTAGTGTGGTTTGTTTTAGTTGTTTTACACACTAAATATTGTAATACATTACACAATACTATAGGGGTGGACCTGGTTATATGCAAATGTTGTTATTTGTGATGGTTCTCAGCATTAAACACTCGCAAATGTTAAGACCCTACTGTGCATACTTTGACTTGCTGAAAGTAATGGCGATCTTCAACATGCTTCTCTTTGACACACATACACTTTCAATGTCATCTCCAGTGTTAAATCCTAGGAAATGTTAAAAAAACTGGACAGTGATTCATATACAAAACATAAGACATGGCCTATTTACCACTACATTTTAGTCATGTGTCCTCATTCTGGCACACACAATCCATTTTAGCTCAGCTAAATTCAAGCACTTTGTAATTAATGTTGTTTGCAAAGTACAACATTAATTATTTATCACTTGCAGTATGAAAACACTAACAGTAATCATTCCTGATTTGCAGGGTACCTAAATGAATCTCAAGCCAACCTGATTTATTTTAAGACCTACTAAACTGTTATTGAATATCTCACAACATATAGGTTTGAGTACAGACTTACTGTAAAGAATACAATTATCTCTTTGGCTAATTGAACACTAAACACTACAAATTAAAGGTATTTCTTATTAGGTGTCATCTCCAAAACTATTCATACATCTTTTTCCCAGGGTGAACAGTATTCTTGGGAGAAAAAGAAAATGTGGACATTAAGACAGTTGTAGGATATAAATCAAGAAACATGCCACATTAGATTGATGTTTTGGTCACTAATTTCTCATACTGTGTGAGAAATCACTAAGATTTTCAGTGATCTATTCAGTTGTTTAAACTTAACAGAAGTATGTGTCTTCTGAGGAAATGCTTTCATGAAGTTCCCCCTCTCGCACATTAAAAAGGGAAATCAAGCCTTGTCAGGACTGACTAATGAAGCTCATCCAGAATTACGAGAACAAAATCGTATTATTCCCCACTTAGTTATTAATCTGATTTTAAATGGCTATTAATTGGATATGCTTATCCAAACTCAAAGAAAGAATATTCGTCAGGGGCCAAAGGCACTGATCAATCCTTGGAAATGTCATTTCAGCAGTCCCACCGTCTCAGTTGTACAGTATAGTGTTATCTAAATAGGAAATTCATTTCTAAAAAGTGCTGACTCACTAAAATAAACCTTAATGTGTCTAATTACATGTGAATAAAACTGTCATTTTTTTAACAGTGCTAAGCACCAAAAAGGGAAACAAATTATTCATAATAAATAGTCCTTTCACCCCAAACGTTACCAAATAAATAGCTCATCCCCACGAGAAAAGCCAAAACACAACTGCTTCTCTTTATTTTTGCATCACGTTCATTTGAGAAAATAACCGCAGAGCAGCAGTGACAGGGAAAAGTTGATTTATCAGGACAGGTGCACTGAGAATAATGTCAGGGAAGATGGCTGTTGTCTGCATGCATAATACAGTCCTTATCGAGAATGCTCACATTCTAAATCAATGCAAAGAATATTAAGGGAATGTAAATATTTCTGCATATTTCAGCAAAATGAAATCCACTTCAGTGTCAGTGCATTTAACCCTGTAAAGCATATTAAAAAAATGAAAATGTGGATCTTGTTCTACTGGGTATTTCAATCAAAAACTGTCACCAGTCAAGCAGATTTCAAAATACTATATTACTTTTGCTTCCACTACAATTTTGTTATTCACAGCCTGAACAACAAACTTTTTTTTCTTCCCCTTTCCGCTCTTTCAGATTTAAATTCAGCTGTCAATATTTCTGAAATTAAAAATATGGCTTTATGGATGAAGTTAATGACTACAAAAAAATTGTACTACAGTAGCACAATATTCTAAAACAGGGAGCGTTTCTTCTGCTGGAAATTAGTCACATTATTTATATTAGTCAAATTTGACTTTTTTTTTTAGCCACAGAGCCTACAGTACATTCCAAAATATCTTCAAATATACTTTAAAACTGGTATGAGTTACAGTTATAGGACAATACACTCTGTTTCTGTATTTGTATACAATTTAGTTATTTTACTTATATATCAGAGAGACTAAATTTATAAATGACTAGAGCCTCTGTTAAAACCTGTTTATGGGTATGAAAATGAGGAATTACTATTTAAAGTGGCCTGGAGCCCAGACGTACGTTTCACAACTATGATATAGTGCATTAAATACAGAAGCACGTACTGTACAGTACTAGGATTCTTTCCACTGGGAACGTCACAATAATTACTCTGTACAGCTGTAGCATTTCTGTATGACTGAGGAAAACCTGGTAGAACACTGGTTTCAATCTGTCATCACAGGAAATCTCCAAGGGGTGGAGATATCCATGCCAAACCTGCCTGCTGAGAGATTCAAGGGAATTACATCACCCCTACAGATTCCTTGTTCATCACGAGCCTGATTATACTCTTCTCCCTCACGTCTATAATCTCTGAAGCACCCTCAGTGACAGGCAGGCAGCAATTTATTGTCACAGTATCACAGCTCCATTGTTGTATGTAAATGCTGGAGCCCAGTTTGAACAGAAATCTCTGAGATACTAAACTGCACATATTGTACCAAACAAGCATCAAGCCCACTATGCCAAAAAGATTGGTTCCCAGGAGGAGGTTTGAACCCTCTGAGACACTGTGAGGAATGATGTCACTGTAACTCACCCATTGTATACTTTCTGACATGTTTTCAGATTTTTAACAACTAAAACGTAGATTTCATTTTTTGTTGCACTACTTAAAAAAAAGATTCCAAAATAGAAAATCAAGACAATAGTGTACATTTTTATTTGAAAATGAGGGATTTAAATGATTTGTCGTGTGAAATTTAGTGCACCAAATCATTAATGTTTTTTTCTCCACTTCCTCAGTCTATTCAACCTACTACCCATACAGTTTATTATAAATTCTATTAAAACATGCAGCTTCGAGTCAGGTTTCATTACAGCATCAATGTTCCATTGCGTCAATAACAAAAGACTAGTGCAAGGATGCCTGATTTGTCTGTTTACTCGTCCTTGATGCAACAGCGGATGAGAGCCAGACAGACACAGTTTAAAAGAAACCAGATGGAATGACACTAAATTACAGCCCACATTTAGAACATTAAGAGTGTTGTTGTTCTTTCCCAGATCTAGAGACTCATGGCTAGTGTCAAAGTTCTCTTCTGCCTCCTTATCACACTGTAACTTTGAGCCTTATTAACACAGTATGAGTATACAATATACTATATATACACTATATATATGGGTGTAATGCATAGTGCAAAATAAAGTCCCAAGGTGTATTAGACAATAATACTCCAGTGGCTCATAGCACAAAATTTAACCTTCATCTGTGTAAACTATCTTTTTTTCTCCATCTCAAGTGGTCTATGTTTTTTCTAAAGATCGTTCAACAAAATAACTAAATATATAATTTATGTCCTTCAGTTATTTCTGCTATGAATTAATAATTAATCACAACGACAGCACATAAACATCAATTATACAACATTATCTATTTCACAATATTCATATATTAAAATTTCTTCTGCCTACATGGGAGACTTAATAGATGGATTTCAATGCAAAAAAAAACATACAAGATTTTTAAAAGCATATGTGGGGACACCAGATACAAATCAGGAAAAAATTAGATAAAAAATGAGAAAATCGTGCTTAAATAAATCAATTATGATAATCATAAATTCTTAATTGATTCCAGAAGGGGGCACTTGTGCAGCACTTTGATAGACACCCACACGCACGTAACAGGAAAGACTTACCCCAGCCTATCCCATAGTAATAGAAATGCTTGCTTTCCTCAGACCCGAACACTTTGATCACCATGCTGTAAAGATGAAGACCTTCTACCAACATCCAGGCAAATGCACTCAAGAAGAAAAAGTGAAGCAGAATGGCCATAATTTTGCAGGGCAGCTGTAAAACAACAGGAGGAAATACATTTAGTCCCCCTGATTCAGCGACATCTACACCCCGCTGTTCAGCTCTTCTATTTTCACGAAACGGCATTCTTTACTTTCTTACGGAGGAGTGGGTCCTCAAACACGCACTGCATCTCCTGGCCGTGCAATGAGCTGATTAAAGCCAATGTGTTGCCCAACATTTCCAGCAAAGGCCAGTAGCACCCCTCACTGCTTTCTCATGGCCCCCCTCTCGGGGCTGGGACCCTTCTCACAGAGGGAGCTCGACTGTGGATCGTGAATACGGCTCTCCTTCACACTCTATATCAGGGATGGGAAATCCCGGTCCTGTGGGGAGTCTAGTTGTGGTCCTGGGGGGTGAGTGTGTTGGCAAGTCTCTGCACTGCAGCTGGGATGAAGTTAGTTAAGTTGGAACTCAAAACCTGCAGACACACTGGCCCTCCAGGAACTGGACTGGCCACCCTGGCTCTTTGTAGAAACACAGTTGCCAGCATAAGAAGTTTGTGCAGAAAATGCATGTTCACCCCATTCTGTCATATTGTATGACCTACCAGAATAAGGTTCACACCCCATTTTAGGGGTTCTGACCTATAGTTTTAGACATTTAAATTGCTTAAAATGTAAGAGTGCAGTCACTTGAATTTATCCCCGTTTTTTACAACACCACCAGTGGTGGGACAATTAAGATGTCAATGACAACATTAATGACAACATCATATTGATTTTACATGTATGTAAGAAGCGTACCGAAGAGCTTCACACAAAACAAAAAACAAAAAAGAACAGGTGTTAAGAAAAATAAAGAAAAATATACACAAAAATAATTTGCGAGGTGTGTGTGTGTCTGTACTGTGGCATGTCTAGAACTATTGTTTGTTTTTTTAATTTTATTTTATGTTGAGTGTTGTTTTTCATAGTTTTGTGTGGTGATCCCAAACAATTTCCACCTTTTTTAGAATTAAATAACATAGATTAACATCATGTATATCAACATATAATAATAAATCCAAATGACAAATATTGAAACCAAATCACTTATTTTGGACAATTGTTCTGCATAGTGGTACATAACATAAATATCCTGAAGGCTCATTGTGTACTTCTTTTAGGCTGTGTGAAGGAGTATATGATGAAAGAAGATCACGAGTGTAGTCTGCTGTTAAATGATTTAGAACTATAAGAGTAAGAATCTGAACGCAACAGGGAGCCAAAGCAAAGGCACTAAGAATGGTGTAATATGTTCGGAATTTTACCGGAAGTCTGGGCAATTGAATCTTGAACACAAAGCAGCTTAAGGACGATTTATTTAAATATCAGCAAATAAAGCTTTGACACGTCTTTCCAGAAAAGACAATAGCATTTGTTAGCTTCTGTGCTACCTGCTTGGGAGAGACGAGCAAATATAAAAAATGTTTTTCAAAACATTTGTTTGGTTTTTCACACAGGTGAAAAAAATCAACCTTTGTAACACTGCAAATATGCTTTTCAAAAAATGTCTCCACAGATGAAGGAATGTACGTGTCTTGCACACACTGTAGTTATTAAGGGGCTGAATGTGTCATGTGACACTGAGATATCATGGGTGAAAACTGGATCCATATTGACTGAATGTTGCCAGGATTTCCTTTACATAATATGTAGCATAGCCAAAGCTGAACAAACAACTGCTCTGAATCTCTGTGGAAAAAAAAGGAAATTACATTTTATTAATCCCCTGTGAAGTCTGATTTAAATCAAACCAATCAACCATTTTCCTTTAGCTAGATTTTAAACTTTTAATTTCTCAGCTTGATGAAACCAATTTTTTTTTCAAGACCATATAATATTTCTAGGACATCTCAACAATATTTTTTTTTAAATAAATTGATTTTCATTGCTAAAACTGATTCTGGTACGAAGATGTGAAATATATGATGTAGGATCAGAGGTGGGAACGTTTCATTTGTTTGTGTAGGAATGATACAAAGGAATACTGCCTTTTATATGAATCACGTTAGGTATGGTATTTTATACAACTTTGGAACAATTACAATGGAAAGCTGAAGTGGGAAAATCCTGACATTTCTTGTTACATGGCATCATCCTAACAGAAATTATTTCTACACCTTTGATCTTTCAGAAATGAGTCATTGTAGCAGCCACTTATATCTATCTACTTCTTACTACAAAGATGTAAAACGTCTGCTGTAATTTCCTAGCATGTGACATCCTTCAGCTTGATTGAATACCAACCTTCCATTTTTGTTACCATTTCTTTCAATTCAGGGTCGCATGGGTGCCAGAGCCTATCCCGAGCAAAGAGCACAAGCCAGGGTACAGCCTGGATGGGACGCCAATCCATTGCAGGGAAGATGCACAGGCACGCAGACACTCACACCTAGAGCCAAATTTCCCACAAGCCAATTAACCTACCAGTATGTTTTCACACTGTGGGAGGAAACTGGAGCACCCAGAGGAAACCTACCTGAACACGGGGTGAACGTACAGTACAAACTCCTCTGAGACTTATTCTCTAATCCCTTGGTCTGAAATTAAATGTAGTGCTCAGGTCACTGACATTCAAACAGAGCTTCAAAAACGCTCTTCATATAATTAGTCAAAACCAATAAATCTGGCAAAGGAATTCAGAACACTCATTCTTCTTTGTGAACGAGAGCCACATATCTGCAAGCAATCAAGTGTTAATTCACAGCTGGCTAACTGTAAAGCAGATGTACTTCCTGTGCTTTTTAAAACTCATTATTAGCTCATTTAACCATGCTGCTCCAGGGGTTTAGTTTAGGTTTGCTTAATCAATGAATTCAAGTGCAAGACAGATAGTGACTCAGGAAAATATCAATATCAAGTTTGTCCTCAAAGTTATTTCACATTAGGAAAGAGATTTTATAAGATCTTTATCCTAGTGAAGCTTTTTAGTTGTGGCTGCAATCGACAAAAGCTACGCAGACATACTGTATGTGTACAATTTCTCAGCTGGAATAACAGCAGAAAAGACAAAGGCACCAACAGCTTTCGTTAACAAATGTGTAACACTGAAAGGCTTAAAGCTGAATAGGATTATCTTTCCTCACTTCTGGAAAATGCAGTGTTTGATCCTTCATAATGCTGATTTTACTATTTCTCATAAACCTATACACTATTTATAGTTGGGAATTATTTCCCACCAAGAGCAAAGTACACAAACGATAAAAGATCTGTAAAGAAATTTGAGAAACGCAGTAAAAAAAAAAGACAAAAAGAAAAATTGATTCCACTCCATTTTACTTTTTTTTTCTTGAGCTGTAGGTTAGATTTAAATAGGTCTTTAATTCTTTTTCCATTCGCAGTAGACAAACTAATGCAAATGACCATAAATGAATACAAGTTAAGAACTGGGAGTATGATTACCTTGGTTCAGCTGAGCAAATAATTACCTCAATTACCCAATTAGTAGCTTGGATGGAGCAAAATCAGAAGCTACCGCAACCTTTGATGATAAGCAACTCCGATATACAAATATGTTGAATGTATAATGCTTTCTTATCAACAGTTACAGTATATGTAAGACATAAGGTTAGTATTAAGGGTAACTACGTATTGCACTTACCGTTCCTGAATCAAACCGGAAACTGATTAGAAGCAGGATCTGAGCCACCAGGATAGCGAAAGACAAATTGGCATGGATGTGGTAGCGCTGGTTACGGATTGTGCTCACAGATCTGAAAAGGAACATCAAGCAGAAACAGCTCTCGTCGTTTAAGTAAATTAAATGTTGAATTTTTTATGGCGCATTGCATTAAATGTTCATAGCAGCTGTTACAGGGGAGAACAAGGCACTTTTTCTTTCCATAAAGCAACTGTCCAATTAATTTAAAATGTTGGTGAGTCGTATGCTGTTTCCAGCAACACTTCCACAATATCTTACACCTAACTGAAAATTCAATTAATACATTTTTGTTTGCTGTGGTGCTGAATGCATGTGCTTTTTATACTACATTACATTATGCAGTTACATCATCATGAAAGAGATTCCATGATTCATTTGTTTCTAATATAGTAGCGATTAATCCTAATTGTTGTAAATGTATAATGAAAAGTGAAAAATGAACTACCAAAATCCTACCATGACTTTTTTGAGTTTCATTTAACTAGATGATGACTTGATAATGAAATCAATTAAATTTGCAATGGGTGTTGCTACAATACTGAGCACAGTTCCCCTGAAAATCTAAACTAATTTCAAAGCCATCCATTATCCATCCATTATCAGAAAGCCACATATTCCTGGCAAAGTTTTCAGACACTTTTTGCTTAAACTGGTAGAACAGGGTGCGAGGTAGGTCTACACCCAGGCCAGTCCATTTCACAGAACACACATACATGAGAGTACCACACAGGCACACTTTAGACACACCAGTCTGTCTTTAGAAGGTGGGAGGAATCTCAGACACTTGGAGAAAACCCACATGAACAAAGGTATAACATACAAACTCCACAACGAAGGTGTTCCAGGTTGGAATCAAACCTAGGATGTTTTGGTGGGCCAACTCATAGCCGTGGGGTCCTGGGATCAGTTACAGATCTGGGGTGCTATCTGTGTGGAGTTTGTCTGTTCTGTGTACACATGGGTTTCCTCTAGGTGCTCCTGTTTCCTCCCCCAGTCCAAAGACATAGTGACATAGTTAACTGGTTTCTAGGGAAATTGGCCCTGGTGGGGGTGTGTACAAGTTAGTGTCTGTGTGTGCCCTGTGATGGACTGGGCTCCCATCCAGGGTGTACCCCACCTTGCGCCATTGCTCATTGATCCAATGAAAGAACATGCATTATCAGAGGAAAAGTTTGAAATAGATCTATCCCTCTGATTACAGAGCTTTCAATTAAAATAGTATGAAAACAGAAATGTACTGTATTAACACGTAAAAGAAATGTTCCTACATTTTTACTGGCACTTAGCAGTATATTGCAATACTTGCACAACGTAAAACTTTCATTTTTAGTTTCTGTCATTTATATTTGTTGTTCTAAAATTATCTTTTTTAACAGTACATTTGCTTTGCATCCTCGACTAATTAATATATCACTCCAATTTCCACAGAATCCCTGACCAAATGTTAACTTGGTCTGATCAGAGAAAGAAACAGCTGAACAGTATTACTTATTCATCAGAGAGTGCAAATTAGGGTAAAATATTAATTAACAATTCACATATTTAATTATGAAACTGAAACATAAAAGTCATAATAAGAATTATCAATGAAGAGCAAGTTACAAAAAGTATTTCTTTTAAATAATCATAATTACGTTGATTAAAAAAATAGGTTATAATTTAATGTTATAATTGGGGTTGTGGGACCAAATGAACAATTTACCAAGTCATCACATGTGGACATACTCACGAGAGGATGGCGAAGGTGACAAGAGTGATGGTCAAACAGAAAATGGAGATGGAGCACCCAATGTAGCTGATAGAAGACAGCGCCACCTGGTGTACACGACTGAGCTGTACACAGAAATAACATCAAAGAACTTCTATAAATAACTCAGGATTTTGTGAGAACTCCATTCTTTAAAAGCAGAGTTTTTCCAGACACTGTATATCACAGGAGGCATCTCTTAGCCTTGAGTAAAGTCAAACTGCACAGGTCCACATATTTTAAGGCAGTATTAAGAAGTGAATGCATATATTGTAGGCCTATTGAGTTGCTACTGGTATGTGACAAAACAATCAATTTCAAAAACCTCTCCTCTTCAAAATATCCAGAAGCCCATAGCTATACATCTGTTCTGAACCTTAAAATGAATTCTGCAACATCTTTTCTATAATTAGATGTAAGGTTTATATTGGACACATAGTGTCAGGCTAGACAATAAATCAAATAGTAGTGTTATCAGGGGTTGATCCTACTACAATTGCCTGTAAAATAATTAAAATGAGTATCCCCCAAGGGTGGCAATAATGACATACTGAAGAGTATCACAATTGCTAATCTGAACAAGCCTGTTTCTAAAGATTTCTATCTCTTTCTCTTTGCTTTCTAACTCATTCTCCCTCCCTCACCCACAGCATTAAGTATTTAAAAATGTAATAAAAATACCTTTAACTATGAACTAACAATACAATTTTAAGGATGAGCTAATATCACCATCTTTAACTTTAACCTCTTGAGTGGCTGACTTAATGGCTGAGAAGCACAGAAGAAGTGAAAAGCCTCCTGTTTTTTGAAGTATGCTTTCAGAGCTAATAATATTTTCAGAACAACTTTTAACTAATAGTTCTGACTGCCATTAAATGGAGTGCTCCTGGCCAGGATCCAAGAAAGATTTAATCACATAATGTCAGAGCAACCAAGTAGCACCATCACTTGCATAACACATTCCCTTGCCTCAGTTCTCAAACAATTCTCGATTGCCATACCAGCCAATTACTAAATTACTGGGGTCTACTGAATTACTGTAAGTGCATCCGGACAAATTTGGTGAGTGTTTTGTTTCACTGCGTCATTTACATAGCTTATGGTTATTAGAGATGCAAATTATGAACACTGTAAAACCTATCCATCCATTTCTAAAACCACTCTATCCAATACAGGGTCATGGGGAAACCAGAGCCTATCCCAGCAGGAAATGGGACCGAGGCAGGATGCACCCTGAATGGGATGCCAGTCCGTCACAAGGAACACATACTCCCACCTGGACCTATTTTACAGTATATAAACCCTCATGAACACATGGAGAACCCAAAGCCCCAGCACTGAGAGGCACAGCTCTAATCCTGCCACCCTGAACATCATAAAATGTAATACAATTTCTTAAATGAATAAACAAAGGTTACTGAACTGCTCCACAGTTCTGAAAAAAACGACTCAAAATTTGTACACTATTCCCTCTCTACTCCTTACTAATTTCAGACAGCAGCTATAAAGAATTGATTACTATCAGTTCTATAACTGATAGTAATAGAACTATCCATATATTGGGGTGGAGCAGTGGCTCTGTGGCTAAGGATCTATGCCTGTAGCTAGAAGGTTGCTGGTTCAAATCCTGCAGCTGGCAGAGGAATCCTATTCTGTTGGGCCCCTGAGCAAGGCCCTTCACCCCAGCTGCTCCAGGGGCGCTGTACAATGGCTGACCCTGCACTCTGACCCCAAGCTTCTCTCTGTCTGGATTTCTGTGTGTCTCATGGAGAGCCAGTTGGGGTATGTAAAAACAAACAAATTCCTAATAAAAGAAATTGTATATGGCCAATAAAGTGATTTTATCTTATAATGTAGACTTTTTCACCATGGTCCCTAACATTACAGTTAATTAACTCACAAGTTAAAAACCAAAATTATTTGTAACCCTGGAACAACCTCATAGGACATTTAAGAAAAATCACTTTGTCAGGAAACAAGAGATTTCTTAGCATGATTTCAGTAATCTGTCCAGATCAAATAGACTAGAGACCATTTGGCTCATAAATGAGAATATTACCCAGCAAAATTAAAATTGAGGTTTGTTAATATGTGGCAAATGTGATTATATGTTTTCCAAGGAGTTTAATTTGGCTTCATGCAGTCTTTAATAAAACTTAATTATGTAAATGTGATTCTATTTTTCAGTGGGAACTGAAAACTGAAAGTAGATTGTGATTTACAGTAGCCCTAAAGCTTATTTACACACCCTGGATGATCTGCAGCTAAGCGGCAATTTAGCATGACACTTTTCAGTATTTTATGATACAGCTAAAAAAACGTAAAACCGGTATAACTTTTAATATTGTAAGTTTGAAATAGAACATTTGACAAAATTAGTTACACATAAAACCTTACATTTAAACATTTTAGCCATTGAATTTGATGAACGCTATCCATATTTGCTAGGTGGCACCATTTTTTTGGATAAAATACCCTGCTAAATGTCAACCCTGGCTGTTCTTCAGTGCTAACTAGGGCAACTACAGTAGAATGAAGATTGCAAATCACCCATAAAACACAACAGATCCACTTTTGTTCTCCACAGAAGGGATGATATTCTTCAACATGAACATGTTTCTGTGCTAATCATACTGCTGTCATGTTTCAGCCAATCATATTGTGTGGTTCAGCAATTACTTGACTGCCAAGTCAACTAATTGCTGTTTAGCAAATCATTGTTTATTTTTATGTTGCCATGGAACTATGCCATCAACCTCAAGATTCAAATGGTCAACCTCAAACTGTGGTCTTGCAGAAGCTGTATCCTGCTGTTGCTGTGAATTAGTGAATTGATTGTGAATTAGTCTTCTGGATGACAGATACCAATGTTGAAATTGATAGATCTTATAGATTTTTCATAGCTGTCTCTAGAGATGTTGCCATGAATCGCCTGTTTACCTCAGATCTTTGGAAATTCTCTAATCTTCCCCAGGATGACATGGTCCTGAGGGTTTTGCTTCTGTTTTCAGCCTCCTTTAACACGTTGTGGAACCTATGTTACAGTACTTCCAGATGTTTCTAGAAAGACTTTGTGAAAATATTATAAAATATCAGAAGATTAAACACACATATTTGAACATATCTTCAACATATTTACAGGGTATGAATTTTTGAACTATGTGTATGTAGAAATATATAATTACTGCATAAGCAGCCTCCTGGCCTGTTGATACCTCTCTGGTTTGTGCCTGTCATGACGTGGCGTTTCTGATTATTCCGATTGTGTATCTTAGCCTCCCTAAGGAGAGTGGAGACAGGTAGAGCTGTAGCTTGTCATTCAAGGGAACAGCAACAAAACATGGTAGCTGCTTCTCAATTCAATATCTAATCCTCACAATGACACAGTTTGAAGTGATCGTGCCTGGGAGGGTACAATGTAGCACTAGGATGTAGGCTCATATTTTCAAATAAATGAAAACACTCTTCTTATCTCTTCTTATTTCTGATATTGTTATTGCTTCCCTTTTATAAAAGACCACAATGAATGCATTAAGGTGGATTTTACTCCATAAAAGTAACATTATACTATCTCATTCACTTTCTGCTTGAATTTGTTAAACAACCCTAAGGAGACTGGTTTACATTCAAAGAAGGAGGCCAAGGTACATAAAATCACTAGGTCTGTTGAAGTCTTCCTTTCTGTACAAGCCTACAAAAACATTCGTCTGACTCTCTCGTCCCTGTTCACTGCCATTTGCTGTGCCCACTCTCTTCATGAACCTCATGGGAATTACAGCACTTTGCACTGTGCCCGTCTGGGCAACGTTTTACACTCCATACTGTATGTTAACCAGCTGATGTTTCTGGGCTTCTAGGGATATAGGGATATAGAAAAGATGGTACAGGCCAGCAGGAAATTGCCTTGGCCCAGTGGGAGTCAGATTGCAAGGGACTGGTGTGATTCCTCTTTAACTATTAACTTTGCAACAGCTAATAGGGACCTGAGGGTCACTGTTCTAGAATGGCAACTCATTATAACTCAGAGTCCAACAAGTGACCTCCTGACATGGTAGAATTTATTCCTGCTCTTCATTGCAAACTTTCCAGGAAGCATTAAAACATGACCATCAATCGGGCTCTGCAACCACTCCATAATGCAGCTGCTCACAAGCACACTGAACCATCTATGTTTTTTCTCTCTCTTTTGCTGACATGCTCAATATATATCGGAGTCAGGTTGCAAAGAAGGGGGGCTTGGTGACTGAATTATAACATGCCCTGGTACCTCTCTTAGCTGCGTGCTGACCTTCGCAATCTCTATACAAAAAGCTACAGCATGCAAGTCAGGCCAAGACAAGAGGCCACAGGGACTCTTTTTTGCTGGTGATGTATTTTTGATACAATTACATCAGCGCAAACCACCCTTTCAATAGCTTGGCCCTAAGAATTTGCTATTCCCAGCCCAAGGAAAGTGTAACTCAACAGATTTTGTTAAAGTACTTATTTTCCTAAATAGAAAATGCAATCTAGAGCAATCTATAATAACACGCACGCAACTCATAATCGCTATAATTATGATGTGGTTGCAAATATTGTTGCAGAAAAGTCAAACTCTGCTCTAATCTAACTGAAAAAATATGTTAACCAGGTGTTGAGAAACGTAGCCTACATGTATTTCTGAAGTGATTGCTCTCTTTGATCATGTAGATTTTGCTGTGTTTTAAGTAAATTAACAATGGCAAAAAGAGAAACTGATTTTTAAAATGAATATCTTTGAAAGAAAAAAACAAGTTTATTTATCTATTTGCCTGCCTTGTACTGCACTGAATGAATATGTGCTGAGAAGGTCACCTGGGGACATCTTGAAACAGAGAAGCTTTAAAAAGGTTAAAAAAAAGCCCTATAAGGCCAAGCACCTCCACAAATAATTGCTACCTGCAGAAGCAGAAGGGTTTTGTAGCCTTTACAAAATCACTATGATAATTGCGTTTGCAAGCTAACCTGAAATGAAATATTATCCCTATACCTTTTTTGAGGATTATCTCAAAAGGATTAAAATACGAGTGACATGTAGAGGTTGTATACCCAAAAAAAAGTTCCTGTG